TGATAATATAAATGATATTAAACTAGAACAACTTAATAAGGAACCAGTAAAAATAACAAAAAAGTAGTATTCCGACTTAATTTCGTTATGTGAAAATCTAACACCCGTTGTACGCTTACCAGAATGCCAAAACTTTTTTAGAAATTTACCTCATGAAACGGAATGAATTAATAATGTTGCCTTCGTATACATCAACATTAGCTGGTAATATATGAAAAGATAACGTTTAGGTTAGTTGTTTGCCTTTTAGCTTTTATTTCAATAAAAATTGCTTTGATGTTTCGACTTGTTTTCTTCATCCCATCACCTAACATTTGTGTCATAATCTACACCAATTTTAGGCATGGGCATTCAGGGAAATTTTGTAGGTGGTAGCTAAAATTCAAAAGTCGATCTGTACCTTTTTTCATAATCTTTGCTGTCAGCATACCACATTACTTAAAAAATTAACCAGTTAGTCTAATCATATTAGACGAAAATACCCATGGTTTGCTATTAGTCGGATCTTTTTACATGTGGTCTCATTTTGTAGGTCTCTTATTATCTAAAAATCTTATATACTATGTGACATATAAATCCGAACACCCAGTTTAAATGGTTTTATTTTAATAAAATTTTGTATAAGTACTTAATGAAGCATAATAAGTGAATGATAAAAATTTCAAAATGATTGCACTGCTTTAAAGCCCTTTGACCTTTAATAATGTGTGGATGCACCCTGATGTGCTACGCATTCTCCAACGCGCCTAGGCATGCTTCTGATCAGGTGGTCAATGTCCTCCTGTGGTATCTCATTCCGGGCAACCACCAACTCCTCTCGAAGTGCTTCGAGAGTCTGAGGAGGATGTTGCAAATTGAGCAATCTCCTATTCATCATATCCCACCCGTGCTCAATTGGGGATAAGTCGGGAGATCTTGGTGGCCATGGTAACAATGTGACATCATTATGTTGAAAGAAGTCTATTGTGACTCTTGCAACATGTGGTCGAGCATTATCTTGTTGGAAAGTTGGATCTGCCAGGGTGTCAAGATAGGGTAAAAGATGGGGTTCTAGAGCTTCGTGGATATAACGCTGCGCGTTCATGTTACCTCTGATGAAGATTAAAGGTGACCTGGAACCATAAGCTATAGCACCCCAAACCATAACTCCAACAGTGTGATGAACATGTCTTTCAACAAAAAACTGTGGATTCCTCCTTTCACCACGTCGCCTTCTAACCCTGGCACGACCATCGTGCATGCCTAAACAAAATCGAGACTCGTCACTAAAGACAATACTGTTCCATTCCTGATCCCAGAGTGACCGTTGTCTGCACCACTCAAGGCGATTACGTCGGTGTTCTCGAGTTAAAGGGAGGACCCAGTGTGGCCGGTATGAAAACAAGCCAAAACTTCTCATTCGTCGGTAAACACTTCGCATGCCAATAGGTCTTCCGTGTTCTGCAAACCATTCATTTGCAATGGACCTGGTAGTGGAGAAACGGTCCCTTAAGGCCAATAATCTTAGGCGGCGATCTTCACGGTCTGTTGTTCTACGGCGGCGTCCAGTGCCCCTTGCTCTTTGCGTACGGGCTTCTCGAAGCATGCCTGACAACACCTAACCACAGTGTCTACACTTCTTTGCACTCTAACTGCAATTGCCCGAAAAGAAAGTCCAACTTCCCGAAGTCCCACTATACGGCCCATGTCAAACTCACTAAGTTGACGAAATCGTACAGGTTTCCGTACTCTAGGCATCGTAACAGATCGTAAAAGAAGTCAAGAACGAAAATCCGCCAACGTTGATTCTGTACTGCGGCTGAAATATTCATTTTTAGAGCGTTAGTGAATTAAAAAAAAGCAGTATAAAAACCGGAATGTCCAACTGATAAGGCTGAAAATTTTTTCACTTGTTATTTACAGTAAGATAAATACATTCACCAACTTTTATTAAAATAAAACCATTTAAACTGGGTGTTCGGATTTATATGTCACTTAGTATATGAACATGTTTTTTCGTTCCTTTCAACACTTTCGATTGATTCCCAAAAAACACGTTTTGTCATTCTTTGTTCTCAAATAAAAAGTTTTTCCACAAAAACTAGTGTACTCATTTCATGCGTCCATGTTTTGAATACCCTTCAAACAACTTGCACCAATAAAACCAGACTTTACAATTATTTTGAAAAAATTTGCTAATGTGATTAGACTAAATTAAGAAATTTTCTGAAATAATCGTCCCCTTGGCTGGAAATATGATTCTTTGCTTATAAGTAAATGGAATAAATTTTGTATATCTTAAAAAGGTATAATAAGAACTTTAATAAAAATATACTGTGTGGCGCATCAAAAACGAAACAGACGCATTTACTGGCAGCTCAGTTTTTTTCGGAAAAACGCTCAGACCCGTCGATTTTGTTTTCTAGGGGAACACAAGTTTGGCAAAAAATCACGTCAACACGTGCAGCCCTCTGGGCGGGGGTGACACCAACTCTAAAATCTTAAATGGAAAGGGGGATCGAGTGATACCTTATTTTAAAGGTCTTTCAATTCCCTTTATAATGATGTAAAATACATGAGCTTCGGTTCAGTAGTTTTGAAGATTTATTGATTTAAAGCTTAAAGTAGACTTTAAGAGGTACATCAGATTAGTTTGTATTACTTTCAGAAGAAATTTGACTAAAAGAATTTACTTAATAAGTAAATGCTTTTCTTCACTACGCCATTGGTTTGTTTATCATTTTGTTGTTGGAAATAGCTATGGAGCGTTTTTTGTGGCAAAAAAGTTATTTCTTGAAGACAGATAAGGAAATAAATCGTACTTATTTTAAATAGGAATTTAGTACATAGTTTGCGATTGATGTGACCAAACTTTGTTGCTAAAATAACTTGTAATGCTTTATTACATAAATATGGATTTCTTTATGTGGGGTCATTTAAAAAGCAAAATCTATGCTACTCAGCCAACATCATTAGAAGACCTGCGACAAAGAATTGTGAATGAGTGCCTTCAAATTACTCCTCAAATATTGCAAAATGTGCGGCAAGATTTTGAGCAAAATCTTTATTATTGCGTGGAGAGTCATTCTTCATTTTTAAATTACTTTGCTGCCAAATGTATTGATCTCCACTAATGATGATGTTTTATTTAATCTTTAAATCAATAAACCTTCAAAACTACTGAACTGAAGTACATTAATTTTATATCATTATAAACAGAATTGAAAGGCCTTTAAAATAAGTTATCACTCGACCCCCCTTTCCATTTAAGATTTTGGGGGTGGTGTCACCCCCGCTTAGGGGGCTGCACGTGCTAAGGCTGATTTTTTGCCAAACTTGTGTCCCCCTGGAAAACAAAATCGACGGGTCTGAGCGTTTTTCAAAAACAAATCTGAGCTGCCAGTAAATGCGTCTGTTTCTTTTCGATGCGCCAACTTGTATTTCAGTCTATCTGACAAAAAGCTTCTGAAAATTCTCACGAAGTGACCTACGTGCGTTTTCAATTTTTTTCCAAAATAACTTGATACGTTACCTCAAATATTGAAACAGCATATGATCGACAGTGAATATGGGCTGATACACTGAAATTTTCAATTTGGAAATACCTGAACTTTACATACAAAGCTCATTCAACAACACGCTGACTTCGTTTCCTTGCTATCCTGTAAAATTTACTAAACGTTGGTTAGGACACTTCGTGAGAAAGCCGACGATATATTCTATCGATGCAGATAAAATATCAGAAATAGAGAACAAAATTAATTCTGACTTGAAAGCACTACATGTAAAACCAGAAGTGAACAACTTACAATTTAATCCTTTAATATTTATTAATGACTTGTCTTTTGAACTGAAGTGTTTCCATTTGTTTTTCGCTGATGACCTTAAAATCTGCACGCCAGTCAAGACAGTCGAGGATTGCGTCATGTTGCAAGATGACTTAGCTCTAATTTCGTCATGGTGTTCACGAAACTGTCTCAGTCTGAATGTTTCGAAATGTGAAGTTATGACTTATACAAGAAAAGTTAACTATTTAATTTATGATAATTATAACATCAATGGTCAGGTTATAGACAGATGCACCTCTTATAGAGACCTTGGAGTCATTTTTGATACCAAGCTAACGTTTACTGAGCATATACTCAATATCTCGTCGGCTGCCACTCGACTACTTGGTTTCTGTATCAGAAACTGGAAGGGTTTCTCCAATGTTGATACATTAATGACTTTATTTTTTACCTTTGTCAGGAGCAAGTTGGAGTATGCAACTCTGATCTGGTCTCCTATATACCAAAATTCTGTCGTGATCCTTGAGGCCATTCAAACTAAAGCTTTAAAGTATTTTCACCTTAAATGCACAGGTTCTTATCCAGAAAGAGGTTGTGACCATAGTGCCCTATTAGAGTTTTTCAATTTGGTTTCACTGTCAACAAGACGAAACATATTAGCTTTGTCGTTTTTGTATGGCCTCATTCACAATAAAATTGACTGTCAAAATTTACTTGAAAAAATATGTTTCCGCGTTCCAAGGCTAGGGAGTCGACAACAAACGGCATTCTATTGTCAAGCTGGCCGTACAAATGTTATGACAAAATCGCCAATTAATCTCATGTGCTGCGTCATGAACTGTGTTACTGAATCGTGTGATATTTACAGTGACAGTTTTGCATCGATTATTAACTGCTATAGATCATCCAATCTTATTTAGAATGTGTGATACTATAGATTTAAGTCCAAGAACCATGTCTCTTTAATTGTTATTTTTTTCAGCGTTTCCTGTAATTGGGTTGCACCTGTTGGAAATAAATAAATAAATAAATCCTGAAAAATCTGCAATTGTAGCGCTTGGCAAGCCCATACAACGAATCAAAAATATGATGAAATAAAGCATAGATTTTGTTCTACCTTTTGTTTCATCAATAAGCTCCACCGAGTACCCGGTCGACACCCGGTACTTGGAATTGGAATCCCTAATGGATATGTATGTAACAAAGACTAAATTTGAACATATTAGTGCTTACCTCAGCTGATCCTATGGCACTAAAATCCGGTTTCAAGTAGTACTTGATGCCTTGCGCAGACCCAGGTAGCGTAATGCCCCTCACAAAGAGGATGAGCAGTACAGCGTAAGGAAAAAGGGCTGTGAACCATACCACCTGTAAAATTGCATTTGATCATTCTCTATTTATTTTCATTTTCATCAAATGCATTCCAACTTTCAAATTCAAGCTCAAGACAAAAAAACTATCGTTGAAATATTAACCGATGCGGTACAACAATGTTGAAGTAAACATTGATTTAGTAGTGCGCCTACTGTAATGATTAAATACCAGATTATATATTTATTTACATGTTTTGATATATAATAATACAGTATTAAAAAATACTCAACAGATATGCGATGAATTTGTACAATTCTTTACTGACATAGGCGAAAATTTAGCAAGTAATATACAAGCAAATGTACAAAATACCCAGCCTCCAAAAAGAACTTTGAACTCATTTATTTTGGATAAAGTCGAGCAATGTGAAGTATACACCACTGTTATGTCCTTAAAAAATCGGAAAAGTCCTGGGTTCGATGGTATTAAAAGCGAGCATTTGAAAATTATAGCCGAGGACATAACAGAACCACTCACTTACCTAATCAACAAATGCTTTGAATCTGGCATATATCCCTCAATTTTAAAAAAGGTAATATAATACCGATACATAAATCAGGAACAAAAACAGATGTTAACAACTATAGACCAATATCAATAATATCCAGTGTAGCAAAGGTTTTTGAAAAAGTTTTATCTACTAGAATGATTCGATACCTCACAAAATTCAAAATTTTAAGTGAAAATCAATATGGATTTACAGAAGGGTACATCGGACGCAATAACTAAAATTGTAAATCAAATACATCAAAATATTGATAACAGAATCCCTTCAATCTGCATTTTTGTTGATTTAAAGAAAGCTTTCGACACAGTTAATCACAAATTATTATTAGAAGCATTGGAGAGAATTGGTTTCAGAGGAAACGCGTACTCACTGATCGAAAGTTATTTGTCAAATCGCCCACAATCTGTGCAGATATCAGGATCATTTAGTAAAGAAATGTATATTAAGTGTGGTGTCCCACAAGGAACTGTCTTAGGTCCGCTGTTATTCAATATATATTTAAATGATATTTTTCAAATTAATTGTGTTGGCAAAATAACTAGTTTTGCAGATGATACTGCAATATTATATGAAGGCACTGACTGGTCTGATCTGAAAAATGTAATTGAAAATGATTTTATCAAAATTATTCGGTGGTTTAACAGTAGAAAATTAAGCATTAACTACTCTAAAACACATTTTTTACCATTTGGATCTTATGCTAGACATCTGCCAAATTACACAAATTTCTCCTTCAATATTAATGATCAAAAAATGCAAATTAATAAGGGCCCAACATAAAATACCTTGGAGTGGTCTTGGATCCTCACTTACGATGGGACATCCATGTTAATTATATTTTAAAGAAAGTTAGATTTGTATCCTACAAAATTAAATACCTTGGGAATATATTGACAGAAAAATATCTTCGAACATTATACCATGCACCGATTGAGCCTCATCTCACATATGGTATATTAGCATGGGGAGCTGCATGTTCCTCACATATCTATAATTTAGATGTTTTTCAAAAAAGTATTCTAAAAATGATATTTAAAAAACCGAAACTTTATCCCACTGAAAAATTATACGCAGATGTTCGAATGTATGATATAAGACAGCTTTATTTCTTACACAGTATCACTCACTACCATAAATTTGTAAACACCGACCAAAAAATTAAACATAATCATTATACCAGGTACAAAAAGACTTAAAAGATTTACGATTCGGAAATTGTTTCAAAAGAAATTTAAAAAAGTGGCTACATTCTATATCTAGGACTGAAATTCATAAACTCATAAATACGAACATCAACTAAATACATAATCTACTGTAGCTAATTTTTGTCCTTTTTTGTCATTTACATTCTACAGTTTCAACTTAAATTTATTGGTCCATGTACAGGCGATGCCTTCTATTGGGCCTGTTTTGATTTTATATTTATTTACTCATATTGTTTGTTATCTTTGTACATTGAGTGAATAAATATTATTATTATTATTATTATTATAACGTATTTTAGTGTTTTTTCGGATAAAAACATATAACATAATATTTTAGGTTTTTTCTACATATACACATACATATACAAAGACATACGCTTTAAAAAACATAAAATGGCATTTTGTTTTTTTTTATTCAGACTAAACACATTTATTATTACTCATTGTTATGTAAATCTGACAACGGTGCACAAATTATAAAGACTACAAAGCATATTGGTGATTCCCCAAAGCATATCGGTGATTCCCCGATTAATAACTTGGCGCCGTGCCGTGCACCTGTCGCAATCTTTATTTAGAAAACTTGAGTAGTAAATAAAGACGTATTATTCTTCGCTCCCGTTTAATATTTAAAAAGATCGCCATGCAGAAAATATCAAGCTCTAAAGCTGATTTACTTACGAAATGGATAAAGAATGCTAAACATTTATCCACCGATGGAACAGTTGTATACTGTAACGCCTGTTCAAAGCAGGTGAGTATATGTACAGTGGTCCTGCGGTAATCCGACAAACATTATGCGGGGCAGTGTCGGACTATCGAATTTGTCGGATTATAGAGCACTGCCTAAGACCCCCTATAGTCCGGAATTTTTTACAAAAGAGTACCTTGTAGTCCGACAAATTACATATTCAATGGTAAGATTATATATGTTGTGTATAAGTATGTACTTTGAAGTACAAATCATACATAGTTTATGTATGTGAAATTTAGTAAATTAAATAGCAATAGAGAGCTTACGTTTTGTTATAAAATTAAGCATAAATGCACATACATATGTACCAAAATAATCAAGAATTATTAATCAAAATCATTAATGAATTTATCAAATTATGAAGCTTGGAAATATTCATCAATTTTTTTTTGTTTAAGGTTGTTATAACGCGAGATCAGAGCTTTGTCGCTCAGTCTTCTCAAAAGTAAAAGTTCGTTGTAGGATGTATCATTCTCTTTAACCCATTGTAAACCTAGCTAAAAGGCGTTAATTGCGTCTTGTGCTGTGACTTGTGGAGCAGTTGCAATCACGTCGTCGTTATTTTCCTGATTGTTTGTTGTATAATTAGAAACCTCTTTTATTATCTCTTCGTCAGACATTTCATGAAAAATATTTTCCTCTTTATCCATTCCACGGCACCAGATTTCAAAATCTTCCGGACTTATCTGTGTTTCAGTAGCTACTTGTTCTATAACTTCCGAAGTTACACTGATTTGCGGAACGTTGCTAGGAGTGGTGACTATATCTGACCATAACTTTTCCAACACGATTTAATAGTTGATGATTGACTGACAAAGAGCAAAAACCAAGTCTTTCATATTAAATTCTTTTAAAGTTTTTTCTATTGGTTGGTCTTTTGATACGGCTCTCAGAAGTAGGTTTTTCTTAAAGTCTTGCTTGACAATTTGAATGATATTCTGGTCCATTGGTTGAATCAGTGCAGTGCAAGTTGGAGGAAGAAACATCGCAGTGATGCATTTATCCTCAGTTGTTAGTTCTTCTTCAGACGGATGACCGGGAGCGTTATCAAGAAGCAACAACGCTTTTTGAGGAAAATTATGATCCATTTTCTAACTTCAGGTACGAAGCATTCATCAAACCACTTTTTGAAAAGGACTTTTGCATCTATGCACTTTTTTGTCCGTAATAGTTTACAGGTAAATCAATGTTTTTGAATGCCCACGGTTTATTAGATTTCCCAATGACCATCATCTTAAGCGCGTGTGTGCCTGCAGCGTTAGCACATGGTAGTATGTTTACATGCTCTTTACTTACTTTTCGTCCAGGTACGGATTTTTCGTTACAAGAAACGAAAGTTTTGTTAGGAATCACACGCCAAAAAAGCCCTGATTCGTCTGCATTGTACACCTGTGACGCGTCAAAATTTAAATCGTTCACCTTTTGAAAAAATCTTAATTTAGTGAGCTCTATGCAGGTGGCATCGTTAGAAAGTTTCTCTCCTGTAATAGTCATTAAACGTTTGCCATGACGACTTTTAAAATTAGAAACCTCTTTTATTATCTCTTCGTCAGACATTTCATGAAAAATATTTTCCTCTTTATCCATTCCACGGCACCAGATTTCCAAATCTTCCGGACCTATGTGTTTCAGTAGCGACTTGTTCTATAACTTCCGAAGTAACACTGATTTGTGGAACGTTGCTAGGAGTGGTGTCTCTACCTGGCCATAACTTTTTCCAAGACGATTTAATAGTTGATGACGGTAACGCATTCCACGACTGACAAAGAGCAAAACCCAAGTCTGTCATATTAAATTCTTTTAAAGCTTTTTCTATTGGTTGTTCTTTTGATACGGCTCTCAGAAGTAGGTTTTTCTTATAGTCTTGCTTGACAAACTGAATGATATTCTGGTCCATTGGTTGAATCAGTGGAGTGCAATTTGGCGGAAGAAACATCGCAGTGATGCATTCATCCTCAGTTATTAGTTCTCCTTCAGATGGATGACCGGGAGCGTTATCAAGAAGCAACAACGCTCTTTGAGGAAAATTATGATCTTTTAACCATTTTCTAACTTCATGTACGAAGCATTCATCAATCCACTTTTTGAAAAGGTCTTTTGTCATCCATGCACTTTTTTGTCCGTAATAGTGTACAGGTAAATCAATGTTTTTGGATGCCCGTGGTTTATTAGATTTCCCAATGACCATCATCTTAAGCGCGTGTGCCCGCAGCGTTAGCACATGGTAGTATGGTTACACGCTCTACTTACTTTTCGTCCAGGTACGGATTTTTCGTTACAAGAAACGAAAGTTTTGTTAGGCATCACACGCCAAAAAAGTCCTGATTTGTCTGCATTGTACACCTGTGACGGGTCAAGATTTAAATCGTTCACCTTTTGCAAAAATCTTAATTTAAATGGCTCTATGCAGGTGGCATCGTTAGAAATTTTCTCTCCTGTAATAGTCATTAAACGTATGCCATGACGACTTTTAAAACGTTCTAGCCATCCTTTGCTGGCCACAAAATCATCTTTTTTTGTTATTTTCTTATAAAAAAACTTAGCTTTCATGGCCAACATGGGTCCTGAAATTGGTGCATGCCTATTTCTTTCCTAAAGAAACCACATGTACAAAGCTTCTTCCACTTCTGGATGTTCAGCTTTCTTGAGTGTCTGTCTCTTGCCTGGCCCGCAGTCAGTAGTTGATACGAACTTCTTGATCTTCTCGTGGTTTCTTTTTCTTTTAACGTCATAAATTGTAGATCGGCCTACGCCGTATTCACTTGCTAAACCACTGAAATTTTCATTGCGATTTAAGCGGTCTAAAATATCACATTTTTTTTAATTGTCAATGTTTTGTGCTTTCGCTTCTGAGTTTGTGATAACATTAGTAGGTACTATTCTTAATACACAATGAGTAAATAGTAAACAATAAACGCACGCTAGGCCGTACCGCTATCACCAGTAGTCAAATTCAAACTAAGTAAAACAATGCTTACGCGTCGAGCACGATAGCGGTGGCGCGTACAAGTTGTAACCTGTTCAAACCTACGTGATCTACATTAGCGAAGATTGTCAAATACGTATGTATGTAATACATATTCAAAGACATGTCGGATTACAGGGGGCGCCGGATTAGACAGGGGCCGGATTATCGGGGGTCCACTGTATTAATATAATAATTAATTAATCTTTCCTTCATTATCTACGGAGCTATTATTGTAAATATTCATTATTTCAAGGTTTCTTTAAAGTGTTTTTTTAAGAGCTCGTTTGATTTTAGGTATCCTCAAACCAGAAATTTCAGATCGACCAACACCTTGCTACAGCCATTCACAAGGAAATGGAGAAACGATTTAACGGGAACGTGCAACAAACCAGGATTCTAAAACTGTACTGTACTGTAACGCCTGTTCAAAGCAATTTAGTATATGTATTAATATAATAAATAATTAATCTTTCATTATCTACGGAGCTATTATTGTAAATATTCATTATTTCAAGGTTTCTTTAAATTTTTTTTTAAGAGATCGTTTGATTTTAGGTATCCTCAAACCAGAAAGTTCAGATCTATCAACACCTTGCTACAGCCATTCACAAGGAAATGGAGAAACGATTTAACGGGAAAGTGCAACAAGCGTTTGTTTCAACTGCATTATGTGGCAGCTCCCAACAAAAGCAGGATTCTAAAAATGAATTTTATTTTGATTTATGCAACTCCATGGCACAATCAAACGTACCATAAATTAGAACAACCGGCGTACCGTAAATTTTTAGAAAAATATTGTAACCGCCATATCCCAAATGAATCCACATTGCGCAAAAACTATTTGAAGAATCGTTACCAGGTACATTTAGAAAATATTAGGGAAAAGTTATGCAACACAAATACTTATATTCAAGTTGACGAAACAACAGAAGCATGTGGTCGTTATGTTGCCAATATACTTGTTGGTATTTTAAACGAGTCTACCCCTCCAGTGTCTTATTTAATTAATTCTGCAGCCTTAGAAAAAACCAAGCACTCGACCGTTGCACGTTTTATTAATGATAGTTTAACCCAACTATATGCACCAAATCCAGTTAAATCAGAAAACGTAAAATTGATGCTTTCTGATGAGGCCGCTTATATGATCAAGGCTGGAAAAGCTTTACTGGTATTTTACCCGGAATTAATACATTTTACCTATATGGCTCATGCATTGAAAAGATTAGCCGAATTAGTACGTGCAGAATATCCTTTTTGTTAATAATTTAATTAATAACGGAAAAAAGGTATTTTTAAAAGCTCCCTTAAGGGTAGAATTTTACAAAAAAAATGGCTCCTGGCTTGCGCTTAACACCTGAGCCTATTATTACAAGATGGGGTACATGGCTCAATGCTGCCTTGTTTTATGCAGATAATTTCGTAAAAATCAAAGAAATTGTTCTTTCGCTTGACGCTGATTCTATAGCACTTAGATCTTGTAAGGAATCGATACTAGAGTCAAACATTTTAGAAGACTTAGCCTTTATTAAAGCTCATTTTTTCATGTTAGCATAACCAATAATAGAGCTGGAAACTACCCAATTGGCATTAAACGACTCCTTCAGAATCATAGAAAAGGTGATTGAAGAACTAAGTCTTATTCCTGGAGAAATTGGAAACAAAATTAGGGTTATATGGGAATGTGTTTCCTGGATACCAACAAATAAAAAATGTTTGTTACATTTTGAGAGGACAGAACCAAAGTGATCCGGATATTAAAATGAAGCCTTCAAACATAGCTTCCTTGAAATTTGCGCCGATCACATCATGTGACGTGGAGCGTTCATTTAGTTTAGTACTGTACTGTTCATTACAGAAAAACCTATTTTGTTTTGTTGACTTTTAATTTAATATTATTTTATATGATATTATATTTTTTATTATATTAAACATAATATATTAATATATAAGCGTTTATTTTTTTATTGTATTCGCAGATTTATGTTTCAGTTTTTCTACATATAAAATCCATATTTCGTCTATTTTTTACAGCATAGAAAAACATATTTTGCAGTTTTATACCACATAAAAATCCGGACCTTAGTACAGTTGACCCCCGATAATCCGGCCCCTGTCTAATCGGCACCCCCTGTAATCCAACATGTCTTTGAATATTACATACATACGTATTTGACAATATTCGCTAATGTCGATCACGCAGGTTTGAACAGGTTACAACTTGTACGCGCCACCGCTACCGTGCTCGACGCGTAAGCATTGTTTTAGTTAGTTTGAAATTGACTACTTGTGATAGCGGTACGGCCTAGCGTGCGTTCATTGTTTACTATTTATTCATTGTGTATTAAGTATAGTACCTATTAATGTCATCACAAACTCAGAAGCGAAAGCACAAATCATTGACAATTAAAGAAAAATGTGATATTTTAGACCGCTTAAAACGCAATGAAACTTTCAGTAATTTAGCAAGTGAATACGGCGCTGGCCGATCTACAATTTATGACATTAAAAGAAACCACGAGAAGATCAAGAAGTTCGTGTCAACTACTGACTGTGGGCCAGGCAAGAAACAGACACTCAAGAAAGCTGAACATGCAGAAGTGGAAGAAGCTTGGTATATGTGGTTTCTTCAGAAAAGAATTAGGCATGCACCAATTTCAGAACCCATGTTGTCATTAAAGCTAAGTTTTTTTATAAGGAAATAACAAAAAAAGATGATTTTGTGTCCAGCAAAGGATGGCTAGAACGTTTTAAAAAGTCGTCATGGCAAACGTTAATGACTATTACAGGAGAGAAACTTTCTAACGATGCCACCTGCATAGAGCTCACTAAATTAAGATTTTTTCAAAAGGTGAACGATTTAAATTTTGACGCGTCACAGGTGTACAATGCAGACGAATCAGGGCTTTTTGGCGTGTGATTCCTAACAAAACTTTCGTTTCTTGTAACGAAAAATCCGTACCTGGACGAAAAGTAAGTAAAGAGCATGTAAACATACTACCATGTGCTAACGCTGCAGGCACACACGCGCTTAAGATGATGGTCATTGGGAAATCTAATAAACCGTGGGCATTCAAAAACATTGATTTACCTGTAAACTATTACGGACAAAAAAGTGCATAGATGACAAAAGTCCTTTTCAAAAAGTGGTTTGATGAATGCTTCGTACCTGAAGTTAGAAAATGGATCATAATTTTCCTCAAAAAGCGTTGTTGCTTCTTGATAACGCTCCCGGTCATCCGTCTGAAGAAGAACTAACAACTGAGGATAAATGCATCACTGCGATGTTTCTTCCTCCAACTTGCACTGCACTGATTCAACCAATGGACCAGAATATCATTCAAATTGTCAAGCAAGACTTTAAGAAAAACCTACTTCTGAGAGCCGTATCAAAAGACCAACCAATAGAAAAAACTTTAAAAGAATTTAATATGAAAGACTTGGTTTTTGCTCTTTGTCAGTCAATCATCAACTATTAAATCGTGTTGGAAAAAGTTATGGTCAGATATAGTCACCACTCCTAGCAACGTTCCACAAATCAGTGTAACTTCGGAAGTTATAGAACAAGTCGCTACTGAAGCACAGATAAGTCCGGAAGATTTGGAAATCTGGTGCCGTGGAATGGATAAAGAGGAAAATGTTTTTTCATGAAATGTCTGACGAAGAGATTTTAAAAGAGGTTACTAATTATACAACAAACATTCAGGAAAATAACGACGACGTGATTGCAACTGCTCCCCAAGTCACAGCACAAGATGCAATTAACGCCTTTGAGCTAGGTTTATAATGGGCTGAAAAGAATGATACATCCTACAACGAACTTTTACTTTTGAGAAGACTGAGGGACAAAGCTCTGATTTCGCGTTATAACAACCTTAAACAAAAAAAAATTGATGAATATTTCCAAGCTTCATAATTTGATAAATTCATTAATGATTTTGATTAATAATTCTTGATTATTTTGGTACATATGTATGTGCATTTATGCTTAATTTTATAATAAAACGTAAGCTCTCTATTGTTATTTAATTTACTAAATTCGACATACATAAACTATGTATGATTTGTACTTCAAAGTACATACATATACATAACATATATAATCTTACCATTGGATATGTAATTTGTCGGATTACAAGGTACTCTTTTGTAAAAAATTCCGGACTAAAGGGGGTCTTAGGCAGTGCTCTATAATCCGACAAGTTCGATAGTCCGACACTGCCCTGCATAATGTTTGTCGGATTACCGGAGGGTCCACTGTAATGATAATCAATTGATGCAGTGTACGAAGATTTCGATTTGGTTAGCACATTCACCATTTTTTAACTAGACACATTCACCATTTTTTTAAACGAGCGAATGTAATGTCAAAATTGTGTAAACATTTTATTTATACGTGCCCCAGGAATTGTAATATGAACAGTAAATATAAAATAATGTTCTACCTTTCCTGATGTTGATATTCCCTTCCACAAGGAGAAGTAACAGATGATGTACACAGTTAGAAGGCAAATAGCGATATCCCACTTGATGGCTCCCAAATCGTGCAGACCTTGACTTCTGTGCAATTCCAGTATCGCCCGGCTGGAACGAAATGAAGATTTTCCATGATAGATTCTGGATATAATAGTAGTATTTATAAAATTACGTACTTGAAATATTCTGAAGCAGCTGAAGCAAATCTTGATTCTGGTCCCGGAAACATCAGCTCGGATCTGTTCAATGATGAATAGTTCCTTGTTGGGACATCAAACTAAAAAAAAAAATGATGCAACATATTTATAATTGTATTAATGAATACCTCCATGTCAAGCTTTATAACTAATAATGCGTTTTTATTCTGAATTTTGCAAATACGCACACCATGCACGTGTGCGTGTAAATTGGATGTAACTTTATTTTCAACTCTGGTATTCGCTCAAAAATGATTATAGGTCGAAGTACTGATACGCAATTGAATGTCGCGCAAAACAGGCATGAATATGATTATTTTTTTTCGTTGAATACAGCTCAAATTGTCTATAAATGCCTTTGCAACGATTCCCGTTAAAAAAACCACTAATTCCAATGTCAAAACCGATTATCAAAAAATCCTACTGCAAAACCCATTGCAAGGAGCCACATTTAAAAACATTAAGCATTAGTATTTGCGAGATATTTATGAGTGACGTTTATGAATTTTTGGATTGGCGATTAACTAGGTTGTACATCTAAAAAACGTTTCTTTTTGGAAGGATAAATAATATAAACGAAAACTTCAAAAAAGAGGCACATTTTTGGTATAGCCTGCAATAGAGCTGGACATCTTTTGGCTGTATCTAATATTTACGTTTTTCAAAAAAGTAACTTTAGCAATTTTCCAAATAAATATCGCCTCAGCTTGTTATGAAAATCTTCAACTTCAAGGTGACTTTTGGGTGCGTAAACGGTCGATATTTCCTTTATCTTAACAGATACGAGTATCTACAGAAGGTAGTTTCAAAAACTGTAGGCATCCAGACGTTCATTACTTAGAAAATATACCGTACAGCACAGGAAAATTCGTAACTACACGGCAACAAAAAATATATTTTTCTTAAAGAAAACGCTTTAAATTTTATTATATTCTGAAACGCGTTTTCAAAAGAAGTTTGATATAGGATATATGGTTTGAATCGCTGCATTATTTGTGCGATGGAAGAATTTTCAGTTGATAGGAGGTAATTTCAACGAGTTTTCCCGAAAATCCTTCTTTTTCACCGATGATGTGGTAGTTGGTTATTTTGAATTGTGATTTCTGGAAAACTGCAGATGACTAAGTAGTAGTTCAGCCTCCCAAAAATTGTGTATCAAAATAATCAATAAATAATAAAGTTAAAACAATGAAATTATACAGGGTGTTCCTTATGTTTTCTCAGAAACAGTACGTGTTTATAGAGACGCTGTACAGATAATAATAATAATAATAATAATAATAATAATAATAATAATAATAATAATAATAAGTTTATTCACGTAACATACAAATATAACTAAAACTAACATAGGTATACGTAAATAAACTGAATTTACCCACAGAAGAATAAATTCTTGTGCGTGGGTATTAATTCAAATGTTTACATAAATATACATATATACACGTATATACACACACACACGCACGTATACACCTATATACATATACAGATATACACATATATACGAGTACATGTATACATATATATTCATACAAATAAACACATAAATGGATGCACACATACACACATATACGAGTATTGGAACGCTGGAGGGTTTTTACTATTACATTGATTTTAAATTTCTTTCATACGTATCATGTTTGCAATTTGATGTCGATTTTTTTCAATTATTGGTTTCAATTTTGAATTTTGTTTTATTTGAAATATTTCTTATATAATTTGGTAATATGTTATATAATCTACTGGAAAGGTAAGTATGACATCTTTGGCCTATACTTTTTTAGGTGAAAGGTGTTCGCTTAATGTTGTTAATTTTGTTTCTAGTTTGATATAAGTGATCTAACGGAATAAGGTTATTTCTATCGTGAAATTGATAATTTATAATTTTATAAAAAAATTGTTGCCTAGGGTCTAATAGTTTTGCTTCAGAGTACAACAGATCAGACGGGTATAAGAGTGGTTTGTTGAAGATTATTTTTAAAAATTGTTTTTGGATAATTTCTAATTTATTAATTTGGTTATCAAGTGCTCCACCCCAACCTAATATTGCGTAACTTATACGACTTTCGATCATAGTATATAGATAATGCACAACATTTAAAAACATTTAAGTGTTAAGAAACCCTGGGATATAAAGCTGATTTTGATGGTAAGTTTGTCACTCTATATGCAAGCTGTTAAAGTGTATTTTAAACAGGGTGTTCCTTAATGACATGCGAATATTTAAAAGTGTAGTTTTTTGCTAAATAAAAATTATTTTTGAATTTCAAGTTCAATTTAAAACAAATGATGTCTCTTGAATTGTTTTCCTTTGATGCGCCATTTTTGAGAAAAAAATAAAAACCGTTCTATTGTCTAACTTGCAAAATTATTATCAATTTAATTGGAAAAATTAAATACATTAGGGGTAATGAACAACAACAACTGACAACATAAACATAACATTAAAACCAACGAAATGATTACAAAAAATGTTGAAAATGGCCCACTTCACTTAGTATGCATGCTTCCGCCCTCCTTCTCATGGAATTGCGCACTCGTTGAAATATCCCGGGAGTGTTTTTTATTCTATCACAGGCTGCAACTATTCTTTCTCTTAATTCCTCTAAAGTTGTTACTGGGACTTGTGTACACTAGTGTCTTAAGATATAGCCCCACAAAAATAAATCTAAACTGTTGAGGTGTGGGGACCTTGGTTGCCATTCGTGGGGCCCACCGCGGCCAATCCAACGATTTAGATAAACAGTTTGTAAATAATTACGAATTTTCTCGGACAATAGAATGGTTTTTACTTTGTTACTCAAAAATGGCGCATCGAAGGAAAACAATACAAGAAAGATCATTCGGTTGACATATTGGTTCCTGAGGATAATCACCATCCTGCAATTACATTTTGTTTTAAGCATGTTTTACTTAAGCCATTAATTCACCAGAGCCGATTCCTTTAAAACTTTAATAAAGCTGACTATACTTCCATAAATAATACTCTTTTAGACATAGAATGGGAAAAATTATTTAGTACCAAATCTGTAGATGAAGCTGTAGCCATATTCTATAACATAATCAATGAAACTATTCACAAATTTACACCAACATATAAAATTCGAGGAAAATACCCAATATACTTTAAACTTGAAACAATACAAACAGTTAAGAGAAAAAATAAGTATCATAGACTATACAAACGTTTTAATGATCCATACTCATATCAGATATTCTGTGACCTTAGAGCCAAATCAAAAATCTTAATTAAGGAAAACCTGGATGAATAATAACAATGATGGAAAACAATATATTGAACGACAGCCGACACTTTTGGAAATACGTTTCAAATAAGAAAAAATGTCATGTCTCTATACCTAGTTCTATAAATCATTCAAACTATGAAGTTAAAACCGGAAGTGGGGTGTGTAATGCCTTTGCTGATTTCTTTGCAAATGTATATGTTAAATCTAAAAATTTTTATTTAAACAAGGATGCTAGTCCTATTGATGTTACCTTAATATCCATTGAAAAAATATATCAACAAATAGTGTCCTTAGAAATTAAAAAATCAGTAGGCCCTGACGGCATACCTCCTGTATTTATAAAAAACTGTTCCGCTAGCTTATGTTTACCACTTCACCTAATTTTCAAACTATCATTAACTCAAAGAGTCTTTCCAACGAGATGGAAAGAAGGTGAAATATTGCCTATTCATAAAGGAGGCGATAGACATCTTGTGGAAAATTATCGACCTATCACTAAACTTTCTATTTTCTCAAAAATTTTTTAAAAGCTGATTTATGATGCTATCTTAAACATTACAAAAAATATCATTACGGAACACCAGCATAGATTTTTCCCTAAAAGATCTGTAGAGACGAATTTGATGAGTTTTATAGAATATGCCTCTCACGCAATAGATGAGAAACTGCAGGTGGATGTTATTTATACCGACTTCAGTAAGGCTTTCGACAAGATTGATCATTCTATCTTGATGGAGAGACTTGCTGAGGTGGGCGTAGATGGTCCATTATGGCAGTGGCTAGCATCGTGTATAAGTAATCGTAAACAAGTGGTGACTATCAATATGTATCGTTCGGAGACATTCTTAGTAACTTCAGGCGTACCACAAGGTAGTCACTTAGGACCATTGTTATTTAACATATACATGAACAACCTTACTTCTGTTTTTCATTTTAGTAAATATTTGTTATATGCTGATGATCTAAAGATATTTACTATTGTTAGAAATGTAAATGACGGTGTAAAACTTCAAAGCGATTTGGAATCTCTGCAAAAGTATTGCACTGAAAACAGTATCTTCCTGAATTTAAGAAAATGTCATTACATGAGGCTTACTAGAAACATAGCGAACACTATAGATTTCGGATATAAGATAGGGACGGCAGAACTGGAAAAGCTTCATGTAGTAAAAGACCTAGGGGTATACATTGACGAGAAACTCTCATTCATCACTCACGTAGAGCACATCGTAAATGATGCAAATAGAACACTAGGGTTCATAAACAGGACATGCAGATAATTTACGAACCCAAAAACGCTTCTTTCATTGTACTATGCTTATATACACAACAAATTGATCAGTAATATGGAATCCGTCTTACAATGTACATATAGCGAGGATAGAAAGAATTCAACACAAATTTTTGAAGATGTTAGCACATAAAACTCACCAACCTGTTACAGATCATCATTATACGCAAATTATGAAACAGTTCAATATGATTTCCTTAAAAGATAGAAGAACGATTTCTGACATTTGCTGTGTTCATAAATTGTTGAATGGCCTCACTGACTGTCCGGATCTTTTGGCACACTTGAACTTTAACACTCCTGATAGAACGTTTAGAACCTATCATCTGTTTAGAATACCGTTCCGTAGAACTAATCTTGGTCTTAATTCCCCTTTGGTTAGGGCTCAAAAAAATCATAATAATTTCTGTAATATATATTTATTTAACATTAGCTTGACCTTCCTGAAAAAGGCTTTAAAGTATGAGTATTACAGCTCTATGACAGACTAAAATAGAAATGTTTTATTTTTTTACATAACTCAAGTTATTACCTCCAATATCATTTCTGGTATAATTTCAATTTAATTTTGATTTCAGTTTTAATTAAACGTAAGTAAATGTTAAATTTATTTTTATTGAAAAAGTTAAATTAATAGTTTATTGCTTTTAATTAGAACTACTCACTCAGTTTATGTTGTTACAACAATATCGGAAGATAAAAAAATATTAATATTGAAGTATTCAATAATGTAATATATGTATATGTATACGATATTTTATGTAAGTTTAGTTTTAGTTTACTGAGGGTGTGTTAACACCCCAAACTGTATATATAAATAAATAAATTTGTTTTAACTTGAACGGGGAATTCAAAAATATTTTTTACTTGGCAAAAACCATTGGCGTACCATTTTTTTCTTAAAAATATCCGTACGCACGCCACTGTTAAAGCTAAAAATTATTTTTGTATTGAAAAATATGCAACTCTATTAACTTTCACTACGTACTAAATATCAGTGAAATATCTGAAGCGGTTCTGAAAATTTTAATTAATTTTCCTAAAACTTCAACACCCCGAGTTTTTGTAAGGAAACATTTTAGGACCACAGTTTATAAAGCAAACTAACATTAATTTTTCATGTAGATTCACATTCACATATCAGTAATGAACACCCTGTATAATATAACTAACTTCTTCGTTTGCGAAGACCTTTCGGAATATACAGGATATCCCATTCTTTAAAAATGCATATTTGTGCTGACGCGTAGTTAAGAATCATCCTATGGAGAGGAAATCACCCTTTTAGATATATTTTTGCAGAACGGACTTATCGAGCGGTTACACACTGAAATCTCGCTCTGTATGAAGGAACAATTGTATTTAATATAGTTTACTTACAGCCCTGCAGTTCGCAGTATTCCATTCATTATCACATGTAGTCCAAGGCAACATGCTGGTAAAGGAAGCGAAAAAGAAACGCAATGCCCAAGCGATGATCACATTGTAGTAGAAGTCCACGTAGAAAGCAATCAGAACGACAGCATAACCTATACCTGAAAGGAAAAATAAAGTCAAGTCCATCGACTCATCATCATTAAGCTCGGAGATTATTGGTAGGAAATCTAAATTGACATTAGTCAACAAGCTATTACTCTGCATTGCTCCTTTAAGCCCATCTGGACGTATGGCATCCAACAGACCACCTAGCTCTAACTGTAGGGAATTTCTAAATTATTTAGAAGGCATTTTGATTGACCTCAGTACTGAGTGTAACCAAATTGTATGTTTGGGCGATTTAATTAAATGATATTTTAAAAACCTTTTCCTTAAGACAAGTGGTATCTGAGCCTACCCGAATATCAAACACTAATTCTACTTTGATCGATTTAATATGCTGTAATCCCGAGATAGTGGAGGATGTGGGCGTTCGGGATCCAAATGTTTCAGATCACCTTCTTGTTTATGTAGATTTGCGTATAACATCTATCGAGCCGCTTAATCTTTGTTATAAATTTAGGGCTTTACATCGAATAAATCTAGCTCTGTTTCTGACATTGAGTCGCCGCCTTGGGATAACATATATCAAATAGATGACATCGATCATAAGGTATCATTTTTAAGAGACACTATATTGAATATTTTTGATTCCCATGCACCCCTTAAAGGCTACAATGATCGAAAAAGACCATACAGTCCATGGATCACAGATCACAATAAGTTTGTGAAAAAGGATTCGAAATCAAGCTCTTTGTCGTTTTAGACCATTGATTCCCAAAGTGGTCTATATCGACCCCTAGGGGTCTACGACAACCTGCAAGGGGTCTACGTCAGCGAAAAAAAATTGGGGGTCCATGAAATGAATATGGGGGTCCACGATAGTGGATCTCAACACATACACTGATAGTACCCATTTACTTACATCATACTACCTTATAATATCAAAACATATACATTATTTATAAAAGTACCTATGAAGTACAAAATTTATTATATATGTTTATAAAATTCTGTAAGTTGTAGGATGTTGGTATTCGCTTTGTGGTCGCAATACGTTTTGAACCTGTAAAAACCTGAGAGTCGCAGTCTCAGAGCTTCGCTACCTTGCACTGGCTTGTTCAATTCGTCACTCTATAAATACGAATGTGGGACAAATACGTTTATTCGTTTCCTGAATGTTGAAAAGGAAAGTGCTAAGAAAATATTTTAAAAAATATAAACAGATAGTATATCACACAGATTATAGTGAGTCAGTGTTATTTTGTTTGAGAGTGCTGGAGAAAAGTAAGTACATTATTTTTTATTAAAGTTTAGTTTTGTACTCGTAGTTAGCAAAGATAGATGAAGTACGCCAATCATGACTTTAGTTATTAGTAGTTAAATATTCAATCATGCAAAATTACACGCGTACTCCTCAATAGTTTCTTTTTGAAAGTTTTAGCAATCGGTAATATAATTACAGTGCAATCTCCGTAATTCGAGCTAATTGTTGCAAGAAGATGTTCAAATTATGGAATGTTTTAGGAAAAATCAAAAAATATTTTTAATATACAGCTGCTGGATTTTCTGTCTTATTTAAATAATTTAATTTTGCCCACAGATGACTGATGCCCGTGTCCGAATCTGAAAAGAAGTGTAGACAGTACAGTGTTGATTATTTGAAATTTGGCTTCATTCCATCATTGCCGGACAAACAATCGCCTATGTGCCTTTTATGGAACAAAGTTTTGGGCAATGACGCTATGAAAGCATCTAAACTGCAAGATTATCTGAGAAGATGCCACCCTGATAAAACAGAGAAAGATTTGAAATACTTTCAAACACTCAAAGATAAATTTCAGAAGAGACCTACACTGGACAGAATGTTCGCTTCGACGTCATAAAGAAATGATGATGGTTTGCGGGCATCCTACAATATCTCGTTACTTATAGCAAAATCCGGAAAACCGCATACTATCGGAGAGAAGTTAATTTTGCCAGCCGTTGAAGAGGTTTTAAAAACTGTTTGACACAAACCTGCATCTGATATCATTAAAAGAATTCCCTTAAGCAACAATACTGTTGAAAGACGTATTGATGAAATGAGTTCTGATATTGAAAGCTTCTTATGTAATTATTTGCGAACGACCCATCTCTCTATACAACTGGACGAGTCAACTTTACCTGATAATGCAGCATTATTATTGGCATATGTTCGTTTTATTATGAATCAAGAAATCTACGAAGAACTGCTCTTTGCAAGAACTTTGATAACCGACACTAAAGGTGAATCAATATTTCATATTTTGAAGGATTACTTCATTGAAAAAGTAATTCCTTTATCAAATATAATATCAGTAGCTACAGATGGAGCACCTGCATGGTTGGACGTTATCGTGGATTTATAAGCTATTTAAAACAAAATGTGTCAGGGGTGTTAGCAATACATTACGTCTTCCATTGACAACATTTAGTTGCTAAAAATTTGAGTGTTAGATTGCATGAATCACTTCATTTAGTCACTGATGCAGTAAACCGAATCCGAAGCATCGCGTTGACTACGCGGTTATTTGCGCAGTTGTGTGAAGAAAATGACGAACACTTTCATCAATTATTCCTTCACACTGAACTACGCTGGCTGTCGTTTGACAAGATTTTTTGCACTTTTTGAGACTATTTTAGAATTTCTGGATACTAAAGATAAAATTTTAAAAGAAAATTTAAGAGGAAAACAGACATCGCCTATTTGACAGATTTGTTTACAAAATTTAATATGGTTAATTTGCAATTACAAGGCGACAGTTTAAATTTGATTAAAACAAAGTCCATCTTATCAGCGTTTCTTGCCAGAGTTAAACTAATGAAGCAAAATATTGGACGGGGCGAATTTTCTCAGTTCCCCAATTTGTCACAGACAAGCTGCCAGGAAGACGACGTTTCAACTTACGTTCAACATTTAAATGCCCTCTATTCAGATTTTGAATATAGGTTTGAGGATATTTTGACTATGGTAATACCACCGTGGATAATTAATTCAAATGGTGACATAGAAGAAACGAATGTCATAATACAAGAGGAACTGGCTGAACTAAGTACAAACGAAGACCTTAAGGTTCAGTTTAAAAACGGATATCAGCAATTCTGGCTGCAAAACAACATACCCGTTACTTATCCCGTATTATGGAATATAGCGAGGAAATTTTTAATTTTCTTTCCATCGTCATACCTAGTGGTTCAGCGCTGTTACCAATCTCCTAACGAAAAAAAGAAACAGACTGAACATCATTAGCCAAGGAGATTTAAGATTATCCATTACAAAATTGACGCCAAATGTTGATAATTTATTATTAAAGCATCAGGTTCATCCTTCTCACTAAAAATATTGACTTATTGCTTATGTTATTTTATTTATAGTTTATTTTATGTTTATTGTTGTCTGACCAATAAATGTCCGCATTGGGAATAAGTGCCCGCATTGACTTTTTTCAAGAACCCCCCTTTATAGAAAATATTTTTTTTTAAATTATTCTGAAAATTCAAAGATAGGTACACACTAAAATTCGTTAATTTTTTGCCTATTTTTAGATGACTTAAACGTATAAGAGGCGGAATTTAATCAAACTAACAGTGAAATTATTGTAGAACATACGTTTACGATATAATTAATAAACGAACTCGCTTATTGTACTATTTTAAGTAAATTTTTTTTTTATTATTTTCCACTTTTTTTTTACTTTATCCCTCTTATTTTTTTTTTCAATGCGGGCACTTATTCCCAATGCGGGCACTTATTAGTCAGACACCTGTTTATTTAATGTTACGTATATTTTACATAACAGATACAAAATTTTATTTTGAGTAGTTTCAATTTAAATTCAATTAATAAATGTATAAATTAACATGTGTTTTTACTTTTAGTTTTTAACACTAAACGTCACTACAGTTAGAAATTTACAGGAAATCAATATTAGGTAAGTAGGGGGTCTACCCAACACGGAAAAACATGGCAAGGGGTCTACGACACAAAAAAGTTTGGGGAACTCTGATTTATATGGAGCCCAAAACGTTTGGCACTTTCTCCTAACATCCTAAGCGTCTTTTCAAATTCTGCTCGTTATTATTGTCATATCATCGCCATAAGCAATCCATTGATGTTTTCTATAGTAAACAACTCCGTCGGCTTGTATATCTCAATCACATAAAACATCGTAAAGTTAAACAACGTTGTAGATAGCGGGTCCTTTTGCCTCAGGCCTCTCCTTACGCTCCTCCAATGTGACTGTTCATTGTCGCGTTCTTTGTGATTTTTACTAACATTATCAGTTTATTTGGTATGTCTAGCAGTCTCATAGCTTCATACAATTTTTCTCTGTCAACAAGCTAGCTTGAAATCAATAAATAAATATTTGGTCTGTTGTGGACCTGCCTCTTCTAAAACCTCCTTAATATTCACCTATGACTTCATATGAACTCAAAAGATACGAAAAAATGTTAAGTTGAAAATAAAATAAAGTCGAATTCCCTACCCGGTATTACTATACAATCCTCAATCCCTCCGCGCTGACTTCCAGAAATCCCACTTCCTTCCTGTTCGAGCAGTGTTCCCAGTCAATTATCCAGCAGCGGGGCTCTAATCTGCGGAAACGGCGATGGCGGTCGGAAGGCACCCTTTGCGCTTTAGCCCATTGTCATCCGATGGAGGAAAGTGCCACATTACCGCCCTTGTGTCTACACGGTGGACATTTTTAAAGCAGGGCGTCGATAAAAAAAAAGTTAAAAAGAACCTAATGAATCTTAGATATCATGTTATGCTAATACAATGGATCATTTTCAGTTGGAATAACTTTGCATATGATACTACTATGTATACCTGAAATTGATGTGTACGCATATTATAAACTGCTGTTTAGAGAGGGGATATTTCCACAATCAGTGGAAACGCGCTATAGTTATTCCACTACCTAAGTGTTCTGATCCTACTAACTATGGTCAACTGAGACCGATCAGTCTACTGCCAATTTTTTCTAAAGTATTAGAACGCGTTGTTTATGAGCAGCTCTGCGCCTACTTATATTGTAACAAAATTATTCCATCTAAACAATCTGGATTTCGACAAGGTCATAATGTGATTTAACAGACAATATAAGTTGATAACCAAAAAGCAGTAGCTCTCACACTTCTTGACTGTACTAAAGCATTTGACACCATTAATCACTCACTTCTTGTATATAAATGCAGTTATTATGGATTTTCTGAAAAACCTCTTTCGTTTATTCAAACCTACCTTGAAAATCGGTATCAAAAAGTTCGTCTAAATCAACAGTACTCTACGGAACAAAAAATTTGTTCTGGTGTACCACAGGGATCAGTCTTAGGACCGCTATTATTTTCATTATATATCTCAGATTTAGAAACAGAGGTAAAATCATGCAGCTTACAATTTTTTGCAGATGATACTCAAATTTTCTGTTCATTTAGGAGTAATGACTTGGAAACGGCAAATAATAAAATTAATCCAGATCTTGCCCAAATTGAAAAGTTCAGTAGTAGTCATAATCTTCGTTTGAACCCTTTGAAGACAAATATGTTGGTATACGCAAATAGAACAAAAAAGAATACCTTAAAAAAGGACATAGACATACATTTAAAAGGTAATAAATCAATTCCTGTGGACCATTCGAAAAACCTAGGTATTATGATGGATGATGACTTAAAATTTGTTGCACACGTGAACTATCTAATTACTCAGTGCTACGCTATTTTCAGAGTTTTATTTGCAAATAAGGCTATATTACATAAATCTGCGAGAAAGGAATTGTGTGAATATTTCGTGTTTTCAAAGATATCGTATTGCTTAGTGGTTTACTATTCGTATTTAGATATTATGACAAGAAATCGTATTCAATTAATGAACTCAAATGGATGAAAATTGATAAAATGTACCAGCTCCTAAATCTGACTCATAAGGTTCTTTATTCAAAAACACCGTCATATTTAGTAAACAAATTCATACGTAGAGGGAATATGCATCGTATTAATATTAGATATAGAAGGACTTTTTCAATTCCATGCCACAGCACGTCTCTATTTCAGAATACATACATTTACAATGCAATCAAATCATATAATTCTTCAGACCGTAGTTTAAAAGAAACCAATCCATTATCCAAATTCAAGAAAAAAGTGAAAAAAGTTCTTCTTGATCAGCAGCGAAATCGGTTACATAAGTGTCCTCATATTTTCCTTATGTATTTACTTGGATTATTCGTTATTGTATACAGGTGCCTATTAATTTTCAACAAATTCTTTTTTTTTACATCTAGTATTGTTAAGGGGGTTAGATGGTAGAATAGATATATAATCTAAATCTCGCCTCCTGTAAGAATATTACAAATAAAAGACGTTAATTATTATTATTATTATTATTATTTTCAACAATGGGCTTTTTACAGTGCCCTTATGGTCTTTTACAGCAGGGCTGTAATGTATCTAACGACATTGTTCGTTTTTTTTTGGCATTATGTAGGTTTTTTGTGACATTATCTAGCAATAGCTTGTTTGAAAGGTCTTTTGAAGTCCTTTATTTTGCGTGTTTTCGTTTTCTATCTGAACAAAATAAATAATAATTTTCTCAAAAACGAACCGACTGATTTGAAAAAATTGTACGTCAAAATAAGCACTTTCAAAGACCTTTCAAACCAGCTATTACTCGATACCCCTTGTCATTAAAAATTTTTAAGAGAATGACACTGGGGGGCTGAGGGTCAGAGGAGGTGAAGTAGTTTTTGGTTAAAAACCTGTCCTTCTTGACAAATCTTTTGACGGGTCCTGGTGTTTTTTCTTTTAATCATCGGTTTTCGATAAATCCGTGGTGAAGTTTTCAAATGTATGTAGATTTGCTGAATTTCAGAAAAATGAGAGAATCAAAAAAGAGGATATACATGATTGGTGAAAAATATTACAACTAACACATGGTAAAAGAGTCTATAAAAATACAGGGTGTCCGCAAAGTTGGGGTTTTCCTTTTCAGAAACAACTACCCTTGAAATAACAAAGGTAATGTGTAGTGAAACGAGAGCGACCAAGTAAAAAAAATAAAGGAAAAAGTACTCACTCTCCAGTTGACGAGAAGGGCTAAGTACGTCTCTGCCCGAAATCATACCGCTCCAACAGAAAATGAAATCAGCTGATGCGCTACCGAGCAGACGCAGGCAAACAAGGAAGGCAAAATGTTGCGTAACAAGTCTAGGTATTGCATCCCGTCCAATCGATTTGGGAGAATAAATGGTCCAATGAGCATACCGTTCACCATGCCAGCCCAAACATTCACCGAAAATGTTTGTTGAAAATGTGCCCGACGGACAGCGTGCGGATTTTCTACTGACCAAACATGAGTGTTGCGAAAGTTATTCACCCCATTACGCGTGAACGTAGATTCGTCTGTCACCAATATGCACTTCAAAAAGTCCGGATTATTGTCATGTTGATGCAACAACCACTCACAAAACCGCACTCTTGCTGAAACATCGTCAGGTTGAAGGGCTTGTACACGTTGGACGTGAAACGGATACAGCCCCTCTTCACGCAGCGTTTGCGACACTTTAGTTTTTGATACTTGCATTTCTCTAGCCACGTCTCTAGTGCTTGTTGAGGGATTCTCGTCTACGCGATTACCTCTAGACGCGTGACCGAAAGCGTCGATTGAAGGTTGGATACTGACCTGACACACTGACCCCGACCCAGTTCTGTCGTCGGGTTGAGCTAGTGTTCTAGTACCAGTCGGGGATGTCGCGGCTACAGGACGGTATTCAAATATTTTTGATGTTGCAGAGCCCTTTATCTCGGTTCCTTTAAGACATTGGTGTATATGGTACTAAGAAAAATTGGTTATGTTTTCAAGATCTACACGTCGTGTAAAGGAAAACCCCAACTTTGCTGACACGCTGTATTTATGAAACGTACAAAGGTTATTACATTTTACATTATTTTGTATTTGCAGTCATTTAAATTTTACAGAAATTTATGTAGCTCTGTCAAGTAGAAAATACAAATCAGCGCCTAGATGTGAGGCACTGCGAAAACGTTTTGTGTGTGAAGTGTCATTCCTGATTTTTATACGGGTGATTCACAACTTATCCGACAAATTTTAACCACATATGCACTGGTACGAAAGAAATTGATTTGTCAAAAAAATGTAATAAAGGTCCTACAGAAATCGAAATAATAAAATAATATGTAATATGCGTCGCGCTGTTGCATGTGATACTTCTGGGACCTGTTGGGTTAACT